TTTTGACACAATGCAGAAGACATCTAGATCTACAACTTTCATGTTTTGCACTTTTTCAGATTCAAAGTTTATCATGATCAAAAATAAGGAAAACAGTAAGTCTGGAAAACCCCCAAAACAGACGATGAACAGTAAAAGTCGGGATTTTTGGGTTTTAAAACACCCATTCCAAGCCCTATTTCTCCCATTCTTCATTTCCCTTCCACTCTAAATACCTTAGAGCCCTAAGAGAAGAGAAAAGGGAGAGAAAAACACCAAGGTCAAGAGAGATTCCCACCTCATAAAGATCAAAACCGAATTTCTCAAGTTTTCTCTTCTCCACCCATTTCTTTTGCTTCTATTCCTCAACCACTCACACCCAAATCTCTAGAAACCCTAGGAGGACGAAATTAAGAGGAAAAGGAAGGAGAATAGGAAGATTTTGAATCTTGGGTCTTAGATTGAAGCTACAACCAAGAGGTAGGGGATTTCTTCCTAATTTCTTACATTGAGGCTAGGGTTTATGTATATACATATGTTTTCCACTCCCATCCATATTTATTTGATATGATTTGTATGATTCTTAATTCTCCTTGTAATAAATGCTATGTTTGAATAATGGGATGGTTTGGTAACCATTAAATTTCTCTTTTTCATCTTCCAAACTTGGTTTTAAGAAAAATTGAGTTTTCTCCATATATTGCCTTGGTTCTCACTTTATAAATTTAGTGTTCGATATTGTTCAACGAAAATGATCTTTATATTGATCTTTTGCTCATTTTAATTCCATCTTGCTATGACGCTTTACTTGTGAAATTTGGGTATTTTGCGATTAATTGGTAAAATGTGAATTGATTGAGAATATGTTGGTTTACTCATTGTATGGTGGTTGGGAGGGACTTGGATTACCTACGAGATATGCCGTAGAGTGTAAATGTCAGTTGAACCCAGTGGGGGGGGAGATGGTTTCTTGCACTTGTAGTGAGTTGTCATTTGGTAATGCGACCACTATCGTACGCCTGGAGTTCGAACTAGGGTTGGTATACCATTCCTGGGGAGGGACTCGTCACTGCCATTGGGATGGTAGACGCCCCTTCCCTAAGTACTTGTGATTGTGATTATAAATGGGTGGACTAGGTATAATCGTTGGGTAGATTCATGAGAAACAATCAACATACATGGTACGGGGATGAACCAACATAAATGTGATGATTGGCTGGAATGGCTTGGCCGGTGCATTGGTATGGGACGATGCATCGGAGGGAGCCCCTCCTAATTGACTTAATGTTGGAAATGGTTTGCTATGGTTAAACTTAATTTATTTCTCTCCTTAACTACTGTATGGCTTAAACTTGAGATCTATTTAAAATGTCCCGTTTTACTTCAAATTCATATATGTTATTTATGAAATGTGACCGACCCGTTTTGTATTTTATAAACCTTGTTGGAGTTGGGAAGATTTTGCTACAGAGCCTAGTGCTCATCCCCTACTGTTAACATTTTTCAGACTATATCCTTGAGGAGGAGCCAGGAGTCGAGGAGCCCGTTCTTTGGGAGACTCCGATCGACGGGAGCGTAGATCCCGAGGTGGACGCCTAGAGCGGCCCTTCTATTTTGTTCTAGACTAGGCTATGTTTTTTTGAAAGATTGTAAAGTCTAGTTATCTTTTGAAATTCCGCTGCTTATCATAGTTTAATTCTTTGGGAATGTACATGCCATTGTGGGCATATTTTTTTGGGTTAACATGTAAATTTGATGGATTGATTATATAGTAGTTAATTGGACCCGGTGTGGTCATTATAGTAGAATTGCACAGGTTGGATTTTGTGGTAGAGCTCCCCGTACAAAGGAGACTCTGCCCGAATTTTGTTAAAATATCAATGGTTGATGGATAAAAATTTCTTATTTATGGATTTATTTAGTGCTCTCATGATTGTGAAAGGTTTTAGAATGTAATGCCGTCCGATGGGGTATTTGGGGCGTTACATTAACTGGGATCATAACCCACACGTATAACTCGTGTTCCTTTAATCATTTTATTCAAAGGAGGTCCAATGTGCTTCAATATACCTCATTTAATGTCCATTTATATTATTGGAACTAAAGAAAACAAAGCTCAAAAGGTTGGGAAAACGATTTTAAATTTTCAGATTTTTGGAAGAGCTACTGGTAGGTGTTTGTTAGACCTACCGATAAAAGTTCTACCTATAAGCTACCGGTAGCTTACAGGTACTACCTGTTAGCTATTGGTAGGTTTTGCCTACTGGATGGGTACTACCTATTAGCTACCGGTAGGTTTTGCTTGCTAGACAGGATACTACCTGTTAGCTACCGGTAGGTTTTGCTCAGAATTTTATGTTTCATCAGTTTTTCATTTTCAATTCATCTCAAACCTTCCCAAATCCATCTCAAGCATGTATAATGAAGTTTTCTACATTATACACAATGCATATGAGTTCTATTACATGTCATTTATACGGTTACATGTCAAAATAGAATTTTAACAAAAGTTTACACCAAACTTGTATTCAAAAGCCACAACCCTGACTTTTCTTCACCCAAGAGGCCCCGAATGCGAGCCGTCTGCCGGAGTATGTCTCGCACCTGAAATGTTTCCTGTATAGGGTGAGCCAACGTCCAGTAGAATATTTCCTACAGAGGCTACTCCCCAACCTAAGTGCATATGCAATGTTCATATGCAACATTTAACAACAACAATCATTTCAACCAACACTTAAGCAAGTCAAAGTTGGAATCTAACATACTATGCCATGAATTGAGATGATGTTCATTCATGTAATTTACCCGAGCCCTTCTCGGCTCCACAACACATGCAATGCCAATGTGTATTAAAATCGAGTTTTTCTAGCTCTGGCTATTTATCTTCACCCCATGCTATGCAGTGAGTATCAAAATCGGGTTTTCCAAGCCCCGCCATTTGTGTTACACACCCAATGGCTAACTAAAATCTTCTGATTTTTCTTGGGGTGGATATTTATGGACTTATACCAACGGTCACTCAACCGACAAGGAATTCATACACGTTCACCAACGATTCTGAGTACACCGGCACACTTTATGGGCTCTTATACCAACGAAAATGCGTATCCAACCACCGGGTCTCTCACCCGAGGGATAGTCTAGCCTTCCTTGTTACTCCGACCTAAGTCTTTTTCATGCAACCGTGCAACTCAACCGGATATTCAATCCAACTTTTTCGAGCCCACCCATTATCTGCTTACGTGGTGTTTGATGACAACCATGCATCCACACCCATAAAATGCGATGTCTTTCGTACATATGCAATATAGTGCACCATTGCCTAATTCATGTCATGCCCATATGTAAAGAATGTCACATAAGCAAAATTAACTATATTCAAGCAAGTTTCATGGTAATTTATATCCAAAACATATAATTACCAAACTTTCTCACAATGCTATATATCAATTTATCATTCTCAACAACAATTCATAAGCATGTTATAACATAAAATATGCTAACAACACACTTAACTCCCGAGGCATAAAATGAACGCATACATGCCCACATAACATTCAATTTTATGGATCACATTTAATCTAATTCACAAGTCATTTCAAGGTAAAATTCGTTTTACCAAATTTCAATATCCATTTCACCAAATCAATCAATTCCAATCCATAGACATGTGATATCAATCTCTACCAACCTGCCAATTACATAAAATACCCCAAGTTGTAAAATAAACTCGAGAAGGAAGGAACCCTACCTCTTGAAGCGTGAAGAACGACCATAGGAAGTCCCCAATAACCCACTCCTAGCTTGAATCTTCTCCTCCCAAAAATCTCGCTTTTCAACCTTCGGTGAAAATCCTTGTTTTTGGTGCGTAGGCGTTGCCCTTGACGAGAAGATCAACTTTCCTTTTGGCCCGAGTGGATTTGATCGACGGAACGTTGTAGATCGTAGATAAAAGGTACAAGATCCAAGTTCTTTCCCTCCCTTCTTCTATCGGCTAACGGCTGGACACAAATGGGGTAAAAAATAAGATTTTACCCCTATTTATAGTCTTAGAATACTTGGCCCATATTGTGCCACATGACCCTTTTTTTTCTGGGTCCGTTTTTGCCCCGAAACGATTAAATTTCGTCTCAGTTTAAGTTCAAAATATTTTTATTTTAAATTAAATTTAATTATTTCTCAAATTTTGAAATTTTATCCAAAAATCTCATTTTTGGGTCACCCGAGACTCGACCGCCTCATAAAATGCAAAAAATTCGACTATCTCAGAATTAGATGAAATTTGACGTTGTAACTAGATTTCACTAGACGAATCCAATAGTGAGGTCCTTTTCATCATCCGAGATCTAAAAAAATTTAAATTTTCAATCCATATTGTAGCGACAGAATTACCATTTTACCCTTATTTACAAAAGTTTAAATTTACCGAGTTTTATACAGTTATGGATGATTATCAAGTCAGGTGTTGAATTAGGCGACAATGCTAGCAACCTGTGAAGAAGAGATAAAACCTAGCATGACATTGGTAGTTGGAAACTACGATGTCCATGCAATTAACTGGATAGCGAGCTAGTAAACCCTAGGCATTTTAGGGGTGTCAACTGTTATATTCATTGAGGAGTGTTTCCCCTATTTTGTCTTTGTATGTATATCCCTCTACAAGTTTGAGTGGCTGGTTACTAACGCAATGCCTTCACATATAGCCTCCTTCATAAAAAAAGTTACAAAATGAGAATTACCCCCATAACAAAGAGCGACCTTTATAACAAGTTGCCACAAAATGTGTGCAACATGGCGCACGAGCATTATTATCAATCTTCTCTCATTTAATATGTCAAAAACAATAATTTTATTTAAATCTAAAATACTAACACACTTTGTTGATCGTATCAATCACTACATTAATTTTTACTATAGGTCTCAATATTTATTGATATCTCTTACTAATTCAATAATTGCTATTGATTATATAATCAAATCAAGTCAATATTTTATGTACAAATAATATTTTCAATGTCAAAATGTTAGTGGTCCGTCATTTTATGTTGGGTGACAGCAAATACGCAGTTCATTCACAAGAGAAGGTCAGACGGTTTAAAGTTTCCAGGCCCCACGATGTTCGTTTAATGTCGGCGAAGAGAGAATGCCGTTTACTCCTAGCCTTCCTATCCCATGTCCGTATCCATATCCATCCTCCTCCACAAAAGACCCTGTCCTCCTCTTTTGTCTTCCTCTCTGTTTCAATTGCGGGTATTTTTTTAGTCCATTATTAGTCTGTATCTTTTCAACTGCGTATAAAATATTGCTAATTCTACTTGTTATGTTGCATTTCTTAGAGATCATATGTTATGTACTGGTCATTCTGCGAGTTTCATGGTATTAGATGATGGGGTTTTCTTAGTTTTCCTAACCGGGGCCTGGGTTGGGTCTTTTACGGCTTCTTCAGTAGCAGATGCTTCTATTTTGTTGATACTTGATGAAAATGTTAGGGATTTTAGATCACAAGTTTGCAGGTCATTGCTGGCTTAGGATTTAGATTTCAGTTGTAAGTTAAATTCTTCTTTTATATATGTGTATATATAATTCTTACCGTAGAAGTATGTACAGTTTCGATGTGAAATGTCAATTCATTGGATTTATATTGCTTTCTATCTATTCTAGGTTGGTACGTGTTATATTTTGATTCTTGGAGATAGTATGACTGAAAACTATGCCAATGCAAGTGCAAGCTCGAGCTCGAGTTTGAATAGTAGTTTGCAGGATACAGAGGATGATCACACCATTGCCACAATTTTGGCACAAGAAGAAAATTTGAAATATGATGGAAAACTAGGGAAGAGACTCTCTCATTTGGATTCAATCCCGGTATGATACTCTCTGTAGGCAAGCTATTGTAATCTTTCTGGGAAAGTTTTTTCCCATTATATGTTTCTCTTTCACTTTTTCCCCTCATCAATATTTGTTTTCTGTTTGAAGTATTGTGGCAACTTATACTTTGATCTTTGTGGTGCTGGAAGTTAAATTTTTATTTTCATTTGTTTCAAAAACTTATTTGTCCATCTAATGTTGATTTTGACAATTAAAAGGAAAGCTTGTGCCTGATTGGCCATCTTAATGAGCCTTGTAATTAGGACATGTACATTTTTGTACTTCAATATCTGAGAAAGCTTATGACACGTTTCTCTATATTTTTGGTTAACGCACACTTGCACTCAAAACATTTTTAGCCCTAGAATTTGGTGTTGGTTATGTAAATCCTACATCTCCATTTGCCATTATCTTTCATCCTCTGGTGTTTGTTGCACGTGGATAAACTATCACTTTTGCGGTGTTTTTTAATCTTGTCTTAATTTCTGCCTCCTCTTAAGATACAAGCCTTATGTGTCTTGCCTTATACTTTGTCCATATAAGCTTTTTATTCTATTGAAGTGACATGTGATTTTTAATATCCCAATGTCCTGCCTTTCAAAACACTGCAAGGTTTATTGCGTTCTCTGAACTTTCCCTTTAGTTATTGAGTAATACTAGATATTGCGGGTATTGGGAACATTATTGTGAAGATGGTAAATGTTTTACTAAGCGACTTGAAGCTTTGGTTCAACCTGCAGCTGAGTTAATGTTGCTGAGATACATGAAAGGTTGTGTTTTTGTTTGTCAAGATTAAAGATTATTAATCAGCTCCCTTTGGGCCCATATTCTTCTGACCTTCTAGATATTGCTAGTGAAGAATAACAGAAATCATGCAGAAGGATGACACTAACAATTGCCATTTTCCTCTTCTTGATGGCATTTGAACTGGTCAATACAAGAGCACTATGTTCAAGCTGCTGCTGTTACAACTAGCTAATGATGGATAAAAAAAAATAAAAATGTTTTCTTAATCGAGAATCCCTGAATTTTCTTGATTTGGCTCCATTACTTTCTCATCATGATGTGAAGTCCATAAAATGTGCATCTAACTCTGATAATCTGCTGTCAGAGTCAAGGCCCCCGCCCTCCCTTCTCTCTCTCTCTCTCTCTCTCTCTCATGCATGTGCATTCTTTGTTACAGATTAGTTTTCTAATCTTGTCTTTGTTACAAGCTTGGATTTTTCACATTAACTTCTTCACACTTGCTATCAGCAGTTTCTGATGCTTCCACCTTTCTTGATGGAATGAATCACATTACTTCAAGAGCTGATTATATGCTATTCAACCTCTGCATTCAGTTTCTGTCCTTTATTAAATGCTATGGCCTGGGCAACTAGAGTTAGACTTCTAAATTGACCCCCTTCGGTGCTGCCAGTTTGATGAGAAATTCTTGATTTAGCAGGATATTCAAATCTGGTGATTGTCCTCTAGTGATAATTGAGCTTTCTTTTTCTCCACCATCCTTTTTTGGTGCACATGCTCACAAGTTAACATCTGCCTTTCCATACAGTTTAACATGGCACCTTTACCACTTTAATTGATTCTCTTGACCACATTTTTAGTTCCTCATGTCATATATTCAGAAACCTTTTTTTATCTTTCTTCAACTAATTTGCTTCTGGATCGCTCATTACTCTCCTCAGTAAAGGACCATTACTCAAATATAATGCTTATTTAGTTTTTTAGTAGTGAGCTATTATAGGGTGGTAAACCCTCTACAAAAGGGCGCCATGTGCTTTTGGAGTTTTCTTTCCAAAATATTCCGAAATATTGGCCAATATATTTCAAAACATTCGAAATAGCTCAGGACAAGGAAATTTCGATTTTCATCACTCTGATTCATTCAGTTTCTACCAAAACCTACATGTTGTGGTTGTTTGGTTGAAAGCAAAATGAGATTTTGATCCTTGGTAAGCACAACAAAACTTGAAACAACAAAACTGCTTATCAATATCACAGCCGCTGCATGCTTGCCATTGCCACAAAGTACTGCTGCCATAATCACAATTAACCTTGCTACCATTATTCTACTATTGCGTGGATTTGTCACTATTAAATTCCTTCAGGTCCTGCTACAGTTGATGTTGAAAAGCTAGATTATGCCTTCCCCAGAGAAGACTGGAACTTTGATCCTGTAAACCCTGACACAAATATCCAATTATAAAAAAGGGTAAAAAAATGCAAACCAGCACAATAGCCATAATTGGCCCTTGACTAAACTTACTGCCACTACCCAACCCAACCCAACCCAACAGTGCCAGCTCACTATTCTAAAATTATGGATCTGCCCCCAACACTTCAAAAAATTACAGAACTCCCCTTGAAGTTTCTAAAATTACATCTTTGATCCCAAAAGTTTCTGAAATTATTGTTTGGCCCAAAAATTCCCTGAAATTACAAATAAATTTTCTGAGATTTTCCAAACCACTCAAATAAAGATGGTATCCAATGCCGAATTAAATACCAAAGTACTAGTTTTATTCCAAGAATGCGTTGACGCATAGAAAGCCTTGAATGATAGACTAGATACAGTTCAACCATCCATCGATTCACTGAAAGAACTTGTGTTAGGTGTAAAATTAAGACAAGTGAAGATATAAACTTTGTCTCTTCAACCCTCAANTCTAATCTTGTCTTTGTTACAAGCTTGGATTTTTCACATTAACTTCTTCACACTTGCTATCAGCAGTTTCTGATGCTTCCACCTTTCTTGATGGAATGAATCACATTACTTCAAGAGCTGATTATATGCTATTCAACCTCTGCATTCAGTTTCTGTCCTTTATTAAATGCTATGGCCTGGGCAACTAGAGTTAGACTTCTAAATTGACCCCCTTCGGTGCTGCCAGTTTGATGAGAAATTCTTGATTTAGCAGGATATTCAAATCTGGTGATTGTCCTCTAGTGATAATTGAGCTTTCTTTTTCTCCACCATCCTTTTTTGGTGCACATGCTCACAAGTTAACATCTGCCTTTCCATACAGTTTAACATGGCACCTTTACCACTTTAATTGATTCTCTTGACCACATTTTTAGTTCCTCATGTCATATATTCAGAAACCTTTTTTTATCTTTCTTCAACTAATTTGCTTCTGGATCGCTCATTACTCTCCTCAGTAAAGGACCATTACTCAAATATAATGCTTATTTAGTTTTTTAGTAGTGAGCTATTATAGGGTGGTAAACCCTCTACAAAAGGGCGCCATGTGCTTTTGGAGTTTTCTTTCCAAAATATTCCGAAATATTGGCCAATATATTTCAAAACATTCGAAATAGCTCAGGACAAGGAAATTTCGATTTTCATCACTCTGATTCATTCAGTTTCTACCAAAACCTACATGTTGTGGTTGTTTGGTTGAAAGCAAAATGAGATTTTGATCCTTGGTAAGCACAACAAAACTTGAAACAACAAAACTGCTTATCAATATCACAGCCGCTGCATGCTTGCCATTGCCACAAAGTACTGCTGCCATAATCACAATTAACCTTGCTACCATTATTCTACTATTGCGTGGATTTGTCACTATTAAATTCCTTCAGGTCCTGCTACAGTTGATGTTGAAAAGCTAGATTATGCCTTCCCCAGAGAAGACTGGAACTTTGATCCTGTAAACCCTGACACAAATATCCAATTATAAAAAAGGGTAAAAAAATGCAAACCAGCACAATAGCCATAATTGGCCCTTGACTAAACTTACTGCCACTACCCAACCCAACCCAACCCAACAGTGCCAGCTCACTATTCTAAAATTATGGATCTGCCCCCAACACTTCAAAAAATTACAGAACTCCCCTTGAAGTTTCTAAAATTACATCTTTGATCCCAAAAGTTTCTGAAATTATTGTTTGGCCCAAAAATTCCCTGAAATTACAAATAAATTTTCTGAGATTTTCCAAACCACTCAAATAAAGATGGTATCCAATGCCGAATTAAATACCAAAGTACTAGTTTTATTCCAAGAATGCGTTGACGCATAGAAAGCCTTGAATGATAGACTAGATACAGTTCAACCATCCATCGATTCACTGAAAGAACTTGTGTTAGGTGTAAAATTAAGACAAGTGAAGATATAAACTTTGTCTCTTCAACCCTCAATCAACAAGTGGTTGAACACAACCCTCTAGTTCCACACAAGCTCCACCATCACATGATACAATTTGATTGAACAATGAGTTAAAATTGTACACTGTAGATGAGCCTAAAATTTCTCCTCATTAAATCAATTGTTTTTGACGAACCAACTTTAAAGGGTGGTCTTACAGAAGAAGTTAAAGAAGTTTCAAAGGGTGCCACTACAAATGGAGTTGTTAATTTGTCTCCACTGGATTATATACTTCTTTCACCTATATTAGTGTATGTGGATGAGATTGTCAGGATATAATCAAAGGATTGTTTTCTACTTTAGGATCTATAGTACTATTTTCTTGGAATGCAAGCTTCTTTAGATCACTTGGAACCCTTCTGTCCTTAAAACTCTTCGGAGAAGAATGTTTTTTGCCCGGGGAGAATTGATAGAGATTGAAAAAGAATTGGATGAGTTTAAATTGAAGAATTGGATTTTATTATTTGTTTTAGTATTATTATATTACTTATAGTATATTTGTTTGATCAGGAGAATTAGTGAGAGTTTGATTAGGAAATTATTATGGAGTTTTAATAGGAATAGAATTTGAGAGTTTGATTTTACAAATTTTTTAGAATTTTAATAAGAGAATACTTTTTTATTTGGTAGGAGATTTAACCTATAAATATTGATGTAACCCCTACTATTTGTTATATTAATAAAAGTGTTTTTCTGCATAGAATTTTTGTGTTTCTTTATTGATTCATTGCAGCGATGAGGTAAATCCCTTCCATCCTTTCTTTTTCTCTTTCTATTCTTTTATTTTTTTTCCTCCTTGTCCTGCATCACCCATAGTCCTTCTATTACTTCCATTTTATCTTTAAATATTCTGGCATTTCTTTTCATCCATACAACCCAAACAAGGGAAAATCAAATGCAATGCATAGTGTCAAACCTTCCCACCTCCACCTAATCCTTTAAAATCCACAAAAAGCATGGATGAAATCCATCTCGGAACCACTCAACAAAGCCCAACTAACTCAAATAATTTATTCCACAACGACGATGCAATGAGACAATGAAGGAATAAATGGCCCACACTTTCACTATTATCTCTACACATAACGCAACATTGTGGACAAAAGCAAGTAGACTCTTCTCATCCTTGGAATAATTGAGAGGAACTCATAAAAAATAAATAATCTACTCCAAAGGCTCCTCTCATCATTATAAATAAATGGACATTTTTCCATAAGAAAGTATGTGAAGGACAAAGATTTAGGGTTTAAAAAGTACAGGATCGAAATGAGACTTTTTGTTTGAATGGGACGAACAATGTTTTTATTTTTGGTTTATTTGTAAAGGCTTCTAATGTTGGATGTTTACTATTTTGATATTAAGAATTTGAGCTGTAAATATGGGATGATGATTAAATAAAAAAATAATCTTTTTGCTATGATAATGTGGTGGTTTGGTTGTTTTATTATCTAATTTGATCGAAAAATGTTAAGTTTGTATTATAAAGGCTTATAAAAGATATTTTTGAATATATTTATTTAACTAGTCCTACTTTTTTGAAAAATGCTGTATCTGCGTGTCTGTGTTATGTCATATTCGTGTTCTGTGTCTATGTCCGTGGTTCATAGTCGTTTGGTTGCCAAAGGCTACACCTAGACATATTGTGTGGATTATTGTGAGACTTTCTCTCCCGCCGCCTGTCTTAATTCTATTAAATTTTTTTTTTGATTTTACTGAGTTGTGATTGGCCTTTATGTCAACTGGATATCAAGAATGCTTTTTTACGTGGAGACTTGTAGGAGGAGGTATATATGGTACAACCTCTAGGTTATGTTGTTTTTGGTAAGGAATAATTAGTGTGTCATCTGAACGAAGCATTATAAGGTTTGAAACAATCATCATGTGTTTGGTTTGATAAGTTTAGTAATGTTGTGCTTCATTATGGATTTCAACGTTCTACTTCAGACCATTCAATTTTTATTCGTCGTTCTTCCACAAGTGTTATTATTCTTATTGTCTGTGTTGATGACATTATCATTAGCAGTGTTGACTTAAATGATATTATCCACTATAAGATTCATTTGGGGAAGCAGTTTCATACCAAAGGCCTAGATCTTTTTCTATATTTTATTGGGATTGAAATTACTCGAAATTACTCGGTCAAAGGAAGGTATTAGTTTGTGCCAATGGAAGTATGTATTGTCTGAAATTGGTACTCTTGGTGCATGTCTAGCTGATACTCCCATGGACTCCATGATTAAGTTGGATGCTAATAATGGTGAAATGTTTGATGATGTATGGTGTTATCGAAGGTTGGTTGGTAAGTTGATTTACCTTACAATTGCACGCCCACATATTAAATATGTTGTTGGTATGATTAATCAGTTCATGCATGCTCCTCGTAAGCCTCATTAGGAAAGTATTTCTCGTATTCTTCGGTTTTTAAAACGAGCACCGAGTAAAGGATTATGTTATCGTCTTGCATCCTCCATGATTGTTATTGGTTTTTCTGATGCTGATTAGGCAGGTAGTCGTACTGATAGAAGATCTATTTTAGGTTATTGTATATTTATTGGTGTTAATCTTATTATTTGGCATAGGAAGAAGTAAAATGTGGTTGCTCATTCGAGTGCAGTGGCCGAGTACTGAGCCATGGCTTATACTGCGTGTGAGATGTGTTTCTTTCATTACTTCGTGATATGGGTATCGTTGTGCCCTCTCCCATGGAGATGCATTGCGACAATTAAGCAGCTATTTTCATTGTCGGCAATCTAATATTCCATGAGCAGACTAAACACATTGAAGTGGATTGACATTTTATTTGAGATTTCTTGATGCTTAAGGAGATTATCACACCATACATTAAGTCTAGTGATTAGCTGGGTGACATTCTTACAAAATCATTGGCTCGATCTGTCTTTAATAATTTTTGTTCTAAGTTAGACATTTTTTATTTTTATGCTCCAGCTTGAGGGGGAGTGTTAGAGTTCTTATTTATATTATTAGAAGTGTAGGGTAATATTGTAATTCACATAATATCAAGTCTAGTATAAATAAGATAGTGTAAGGCATGAGGGGTAGCAGGAGCGAGAGCAGCTGTCGATATTTTTTCCAGTCTGCTTTTAGAAGTGAGATGTCCCTACGTCCACTGAAAGCTGGGGAAGGAAAGAACTCTGATTGCCCATTGGTAAGGGTAGGTGGAATAAGGGCAGGTGTGTTTCATATTTATGATGTCGGAATAGCTCGTCCACACATTAGATTATTCTCATCTTTTTCTCCTTTTTTCGCTTTCTTCCAATATAATATTATAGTAGTTTTAATTTTTAACTATGTGGTATATATTCACAGATGATGATCTTGCTATGTTATTTTGCATTTTGGCAACAAAGGTATCAGGGTAAACATGGATTATATACTTATTGATTCGTTGTTGTTCTTGCAGCACACTCCTCGTGTTAATGGCGAAATACCTGATGTGAATGATGCAACCCTAGACCATGAGCCACTATCTGCAAGGTTGCCATTTAAGTTTTTTATCTTTTAATGCATTGTAAATTTGATCCTTTTACCAGTTTTACGAGTTTACTAATGTCAGTAAATTACTAGTTGCATTTTTATGGAGAAGTTATATCAGTCGTAATCATCAGTGTCTCACAGTAACTTTTTATTGGCCTTTATTTCCCAACAAAGTTTCCAACTTTCTTTCATGCCTTGAAACTTTAGGTGTAACACTTCAAATGTTACTCTTGGAGCAGGGTTTTAAAAGTAGCATTCACTAAATATAAGACATATTGACGTTGGTATCATTTTGTCATAATGGTTTTTGCTGTCGTTCAGGCTGACAACATACAGTCTAGTGGAATTGCGAATTGAGGGAGATGGCAATTGCCAGGTTAACTTCTTCACATTAGTAAATCAATCAGCATTGTACTTGGTATATCTGTTTATGCATCTTTACACCAATGCTCTCTCTCTCTCTCTCTCTCTCTCTCTCTCA